GTTGAGGCACACTGATGCAGACCATGTCCTTTCTCAGACCCACAGTGACCTGCGACAGCATGTCTGACAACCTGTTCCTGAAATTAAGTAGATAGCTTGCAGTGATGGGTGCACAACTGATTCAGCCCATACTCCCCCCGGTGGCTGTCCCCACTTCCCAGGTGGGGCTCACACATCTTTCTAGCCCTGCCCTCGGCGGCTGCAGAATCCCAACAAGAGCAAGGGGAACACGGCTGGAGCAGCTATGTTGACTAAACCAATGGAGAAAACTCATCTTGTATTTAAACAAAGACATTATGTCAATTGGATTTAAAGTGTGCACTATATTTCACAACAGAATGCAAGATTTTCATTCAGCAAATATTGACTGAGTTTTTATAATAGGCTGGGTACTGTTTTGGGCCTCATAGCTAAAATGCACCAAGCTCACACTCTGTCCCCAGCCACTACCTTGAGCATTTTGTGATATTCACTTAATCTTCACAGGATTAGGAGTTAGATGCCTTTTTCAACTCCCCATTTGACAAGTGATGAGGCGGAACCAGTTCAAGGCACTTGTCTAAGGTCACTCAGCTAGAAGGGGCCTGGATTGGGCAGATTGTCCTCTGCAGTGTCGGGGTGCTAAACTTGGACTATACTGTCTCAACCCTCAGAGAAATGTGACATTTCTTTTATTTTTTGCCATAATTACCAAATTTCGACAGCAACGTGAAACCTGTCAGCCTGAACATCCTCAGTAAAGGGCTTGCTCTGAGCCGATCTCATCTGACACAGTCTTGCACAACTCCCCCGAGCACATCACCCCTCGGCCCCACCAAACTCCTCGTTGAGTATGGGGAAGTCGGTGCTTTCTGGCATCTCTGAGGCTTTGCCACGCTGTTCTCCTTCTACCTGGTCAGCACCTACCTTACTGTGAAACTTTCTCTGCTTGCTCCTCCAATCTCAGTTTCAGGGGCTCCTGAAGCACCCACATAGCCATCGATCCATCCCTCTGGGGGCAGTGGCAACCTTCCGCCCGGGTCCTTATGATCTGCTCATTGCCTGTCTCCAACCCAGGCTCTGAACTCTTTAAAAGAGTAAGTGTGCCTGCTTTGCTGTTGCAGCCTCAGCTACCGAGTCCACCTTGGTACTCAGGGGGGATGGGAGGATGGAGTGAACACTTAAGTGAAAGGACACCATTTCCTGGATGTTTCGTTTTGAAATGTTGAGAAATAACAAGAATGCCAACTTGAGGATGCCTGTAGCTACTCCAACACAGGATCTTCAAATGCCTGTGCTTAGGAAAATGGAGGAGAAATTTGGTCCCTGTCTTGAGACATTACAAAACCCAATGGTCAAGGGACAGCTAGGTCCTAGTTGGTTCAAAATATGAATAGGGTGGCCGCTCTGAAATAGGCCAGTAACAAGGAGGGCATGACGTATCTGCTGTGGATCCCCTCACCTGTGGGTACCCCTGGAGCAGGTGCTTTTGGTGCCCACACACATGTCTGTTCCCAGGCCCCAATGTCCAGCAACCAGAGGGCTGCATCACCCCATGCCCTCCTCAGCTGCAACCAATGGCTGACAGAAATGGAGGTGCAAAGACCAGTTGTCTCATCACAAGGGGGTAGAGTTTATGCCCCACAGGTCCCCTCTGCCCCCAGGCTTCACCTGAGGCCACATCCTTGCCCTGTGCATCCCCTTCCCTGTCTTCCTGGTCTCAGCCCTGCTGCATTGCTCCCTGAAGTGCATTCCCTCAGTCTCAGGCACATTTGCCCAAATCCCTGCCTCAGGCTCTGCTTCTGGGAGCCTGGCCTAAGGTGGAAGCCCTGTGAGGAAGCCCTTGTGGTTTAGGGTGTCGCAAACAGACTACAGAGCACAGAGGCACCCTTTGGCCAGTGAAAATCTACCCACTAAAAAGAAATCCATGCTTCAGATGTGTGAACAAACAGCAAAATATGAGGAAGGAACTATTACATTCACTTAAAATTTCCATAAGGGTGGAGATAACCAGAACACTAGTTATAGATACTGTATTAATTAAAGACTTCAGATCAGTTTCCCAGGACTTTTGTAACAAATTACCACAAACTTGGTTGCATAAAGCAATAGACGTTTATTGGCTCATTGTTCCGAAGGCCAGAAGCACAAAATCCAGGTGCCAGCAGGTGAATTCCTTCTGGAGGCTCTGTGGGCAAATCTGTTCCTTGCCTCTCTCTTCTCTGCTAGGGCTACCACTCCTCAGTGCACCTTGATTTCAGATGCATCGTTGCTGCTCTGCACCTCTATCTTCAAAAACCCTTCCACTCTGCCTGTCCCTTTATCTCCCCTGTTCTTATGAGGACTCCTGTTGATGAGTTTTAGGCTTACCCTAAATCCAGTAAAGCTCATTTCAAGATCTTTAACTTAACTAAGTCTTCCAAGATATATTTTCCAAATAAGGTGACATCCACAGGGGTGTCCGCTGGGTGGACACGTCTTTGGAGGATGGGAGAGAGAGTTCAACCCATGATAAATGCATTTGTCATCTAAGGTCCTTTGCCAAGATCCAAAAGGGCAGAGTCAACATGTTCTGGACAACTAAGTTTCCTTCCCCCTGCTCCACCCACTGGTCCTCTGGGACAGAAGGCTGCGACCAAAACCACTCACAGCAAACTGCTCTCCACTGTTGCTTGCCAAGTGTGATAAAGGGCAGCCTAGGTACCGAGAGTCCAGCAGCCATAAAACGGCCATCCTCAAAATAGATGAGTCTCAGAACCCTTCCACAACAGCTGGCGATATACAGTTGCAAAACCGAGAGTCTTTGAATGCCTAAGAATTTGGCCCTGCGTTTATTCATAAACCTCAATAGCCAAGAAAGATTTACATGAAATCATTAGGTTAAAAAATCCCACATTATGCCAAACATATTCAGGTTATTGTTCATTTCCTTTTAGCCTTTCACTTTTCAGTTTCATCAATCATGTGCATCATGCCTCTGAAGTCATAATTTACCTTGAAAGCCTCTGGAGCAGGCACCACTCATGTGACTGCAAGACCACAGAGCTGAGAGCATCCTTGAGAACTCAACTTGAAGGTGCAGCAGATGCCTTGTTTCCAACCCATCCCTATGGACCCAGGGTGGGGCTATCTCGGCCATCAAGAGTTCTGGTTGGGTCTTTCCATGGTTTAAATGTCCCCTCCAAAACTCGTGATGAAACTTAATCCCCAATGTGACAGTATTGAGAGGGGGATCCTGTAAGAAGTGATTGGATCAGGAGGGCAGAATGCTTATGAATGGGCTAGTCCATTCACGGGTTAATGGATTAATGGGTTATCATGGGAGGGACCTGGTAGCTTTATAAAAAGAGGATCAGAGTGACCACCTTTGTACATTTTGCCCCTCACTGTGCCATGACTTGTGCTGTCTCTGGAGTCTCCGGAGAGTCCCCACCAGCAAGAAGGCCTTCATCAGATTGGGCCTGTTGACCTTGGACTTCTCAGTCTTGAGAACTTCAATAACTACATTTATTTTCTTTATAAGTTACCCAATTCTTAGATTTGCTCCTGCAAAGTTCCCTTTCCACTCCTTGAGAAAAGGCATGGACTGTGCCAACGGGGGCCTGGAGCACCTTGGCAAAGGTAAGATTTTCCAGCCATGTGGCTACGGCCATGTTAGAACAATTACAATGGTTTGTTGTCTGTGTCCAATGGCATAGTCTTATTGTGAAGACACAGAGTGAGCATTGGAAAATATATCACAGCCCTTGTGAGTCAATGTACAGCTTAGCAAGAAATGGGCGTGGGTGCCAAGAGTGGGTTCGGCAATGCCTGTGGAGCTGGGTGCTGTGTACAGATACAGAGACGAGATCCATCACACTCCCATCAAAATTAGGAGCTTCTAACATGCTGTGCATCATGAAGAAGCAGTCTACAACATAGTGGTTTTTCTTTAAAATATTATCTCCTGTTTGATTAATTTGGTCAATAAGAAGCCAAGTGAGAGCTGTGTGGTGATTTGTTTCAAAATCAAAGGGTTTTATGTGTGAAAATAGGAATCATGGCTCTGATTATGATATTATCATTAATACAATTATTTTTAATTAAGAATTTTTATTAGACCTCATCAACTGAAGTAATGGATGTGCTGTGAAATAGATTTGCTTCCCCCAGATGAAAGGGTCTACATTATGACAAAAAGCCAAGGAAAAATACATTTTTCCTACTTTAAAGACACCACAGCCCCCTCTCTGAAGGGCCAGGAAGGTGCTAGTCCATTGGAGCATTTCCCTAAAGTCTACTACTTTCCCAGTTTCTGAGCAGAGAAATCAAGGATTGGGCTGGAACTCTAGGGTCTGTTTGGGCACCACACGAACAGGGATGATGTAAATTTTCAATCCTTTTGCTTATTTTTATTTTGATTTATTTATTTATTAATTCTGAGATGGAGTCTCCCTCTGTAACCCAGGCTGGAGTGCAGTGGCATGATCTCCGCTCACTGCAACCTCCGCCTCCCTTGTTCAAGCAATTCTACCACTGCCTCAGCCTCCTGAGTAGCTGGGACTACAGGCGTGTGCCACCATGCCCAGATACTTTTCATAGATTTAATAGAAATGGGTTTCACCGAGTTGGCCAGGCTGATCTTGAACTCCTGATCTCAGGTGATCCACCCGCCTCAGCCTCCCAAAGTGTTGGGGTTACAGGTGTGAGCCACCGCACCTGGTCTATTTTCAATCTTTTTGAATGCACTGGTTCTGACCCAGAAATATGGATTAGCTATGGGAACATCTACCCTCTGTGTGGCATGGTCAAAAAGCCCCCACCTCATGGTGTACCTTGTCCTGTTAGGAGTGGCTCATCGCTTCGGGGCTCCATCTACATGAGCCAGGAAGGGTTATTTGCAGCTGATAAGCCAGAGCTGACACTGCCCCCACTAAGCAACACGAAACTCACTTTAATTAATGTCAATATATTTCTTTACATCCACAGCGTCTTGGAGGAACTAATGCAAAACAAACCAAAGGGGGAAAACATCTCAATTGTTTGGGGCATTTTAAGAGAATTCTTTAATATCAGATTAAGCCCCTTTTGATTGTAAATCTATTTTCAGCTCAACATTACCAAAGAATATTACAAGAAAACTCTGTTTTATGAAGTTACCATGATTTACATCTTTCTCTCTCTGCTCTTCCCCAAGACTTCCTCTCGCAGACATTCCCTCTCCAGAGGATTTGAAAAGAAGCCTGGAGCTATCCTTGTCTGTGCTCCAGGTTCACGCCGCAGACTGAGGAGTTTTTCACAAAGCACCATGATTTCCTAGGGTTCCACTGCAGAATCTGGAAAGAAAGATGATTTTCAGTCTGAACCATGAGAGAAATGAAGCTCCCTACGTCACAGAATCATCATCATCATCATCCTCATTCCCATTGTGACCAGAATTGAGTATTTTCTAAAAATCCAAAGTCCGTGACTCCCCGGTTTTAACAGCCGCGTTTACTCTCATGGATTGCAGCACAGCAGGGTCCCAGGTGTGCGCCTGTCTTGGCTGTGGGTGTGAGACACTCCAACCCCATTTCTGAGCTGAGAGAAGGATGAAGGGCCTTGCAAGGCAGTTTTTTCAGGAAAGCTGGAGCTGTGCCTGACCCAGGCGGGGCTCTGCAGGCGCTCTGGAAAGAGACTTGTCCTGGACAGTGCCGTACGTCCTGGGGATGTCATCTCAACACTTGGAGCCTCTTTTCTGCACGGGACCGCTCAGCTCCCAGCTTCCATCTCACATGTTTTCAGGTCTGTTCTGAGGCCCATTTGGCCCCAGGAACGAAAAGCAGCCGAGGAAGGGAAGCCGTGTGGCAGCTGCGACGTGTTTCTGAGCCCTGTCTTTGGTGTGTGTGTGTTTGCCAGCCGAGAACGCAGAGGCTGGGTCGTGGAAAACGTGTTTTCAGTGATGGCCTGGCCCCAAAAGATTCTGTGGCACAGACCACTTCTTATTTACGCCAGTGACTGAAGGACTCCCCAGAAAAATCACATACTTGGCCAACACTTGTGGATACATTCCTCATGGCTGACTTTAATTAAATGGAAGCAAATACACTTTCACAGTTGCTATCACGGGTGTGCCGCCAGAGCAACCCCCAGCATGTAGAACATTCATCCACGAATAGAAATAAATTTGGAAATTCAACAATTTCCTTCGAAAGCTTAACTCTGGCTTTGGTGATATTTTGCGGTGTCCTCTGAAGCAGGCAACACAAGAGGTATCATGTAGGTGTTTCCATGGCTTCAAAGCGCACTGTAAATTCCTAGCTGAGATATGGCCCAGCTGATTGTAATGTCATAATTACATCTGTCCTAATTATCCTGAGAGTAACAGGAAGAGCGGCCCTCACTCCCCGAGCCCTCACTACATGCCAAACTCAGTGCAAATCGCTTTACAGCCCTTGGCTCATTTTACCCCAGGAAGATGCTATGTAGTTCCTCTAGTTTTTAGGCATTTTGTCACATTTTAATATTTCTGAAATTGGGATCTGTCTTTTAATTGATAATATCATCTGACAAAACAAATACTGCACATTCAATATGCACATCAATTTGCAAACATGCCATTGATCTAAGTCATTTTGGAAGAGAAGTAATAGAGTGTTAAGCTTCCCATTTGCAGATGAGGCAAACTGAGAGAGACAAAGGAATTCGCCCAAGGGCGCATAGCTGGTAAGCTGTGGAATAAGGGGTTAAGCCCATTTGCTTGCTCTCTCTGATTCTGGCAGAAGCTTGGCTTTGATGCTTTGCTCCTTATGAAAACATTTGTGAAAAGCTGAGCTCATTTATGTTTCCTGAAAGTCCCCACTGCTAAATGAAAGATGGGGATACTTGGAGTATATTCCTAAAATTTAGAGATTGATATCAGTGAGAAAATTGATCTTTCGTCTCTTTCTACCTGGCACCATCACAGTGCTATAATCGTGGCAGGATTGTGGCCTAGAGGGAGGGAGAGAGGGAGGGGGGTAGAGAGAGAGGAAGGGAGAGAGGAAGGGAAGGAAGCAGGGAGGAGAAAGACGAACAGAGGACACTACCCAGGGCAGAATGGGTGTGGTGCTTCACCGCGTGATTTCCCCTGTCTGTCACCACTTACTTTCTTCTCCCAAGTTCCTCAATTTTCTTCTCCTTTACTGAGCATCTTGATGACTGCCACGAACTCAGGAAAAAAGGAATTCTGATTCTCTGCAAATGAAAAAACCCTGCAAAGGTCACCATCTCTCATACAGTCTGCTGTTGGCCCCAAGTCCACAGTTTGGATGGTTTGTAGCAGCAATGGCACCTGCTCATTTCAGCAACAGCATAGTGTGGTCCAGAAGATGCAAGTTAAATAGGAAGTCTTTGTCAAATGATTCATGACAGATGAAAAAGCCTACTTCATCAGTGTTATTTTATAACCACATAAATAGTCATAAGTGATTGAACCTTGGGACACAGCTAGTGTGAGAAAGTGATTGCTTTATGGAAAAGAAATCTTTTTTTCCAAGCTCTTTCAATTTCCTGATGATCTAGCTCCCAGGATTCCTTTCAAGAATTCCATTTTATTGGCAGTTAAGATGCTCAGGAGGCAAGGGTGCTGTCCATCAAAGTCTCACTGTGCTGTGCACAAATAAGACCTCCAGGTTTCTTATGGTGCACCAAGTACTCAGGACTCACTGTAGCAGCAAACCCCAGTTGGGCACCATGCCAGACATTGGTGGCTGTTCGTCTTCCCAGATGCCACAGAGCTTCTTGGTGGCATGCAGCCTTGCTCTTCACTTTATGAATCTTCTTATTCGATCAATATTAGGTTCAATGACCTGAAGCTGAGGAACAACAGAAGGCTCCTGGAAGGAGAGGTTGACATGGAAGCTTGTGCAGTGCCTGTGCTCCCAGGGAAATGTGCTTTCACAGCACCAGATGCAGGTGACTGGCAGCGCCTTTGCTTCAGGCCAGGGCTGTTCTCGTGTCAGGCATGGGAAGGAGCCCTCCTGCCAAGTCAGATCTCCAAGGAGCTTCTGCTGGAAGAGGCTGCAGCCAAACTTTGAGGGGTTTCTGGCTTTTTTTTTATAAAGAAATCACATCTTAAAATGTCACTTTTTCTTCCCAAGAAAATGTCCTTTTTGTCTCATTCATGAGCCCCTTCTCCTAGGCTCCCTGGCTGCCCCTCCTATTTTCTCTAGCCCACCAGGACCCACACTCTCCGTTGTACAGAACAGAACTGACATACTTATGGGAGGAGCTGACTACAGTATTTGCAATGATTCCCCAAGGCTCTGCCCCTACGCTGGGACCTACTCACTCACCTCCACCATCAGCAGAGCACAAAGGACGCCATAGTGGAGACGCAGGAGTGGGCTGTGCTCACAGGCACATTTGCTAGTGAGCTCACCTGACAGTTTGCTTCATCCAATGGCAAAGTAGCATTGGGGAAGAAGCTTAGATCACTGTTTACAGGAGATCCATAATGACTAGGAAGGTCTTCTTTGGAGAGGGTATGCTATCTATTTATAACAGTCAGTGAAGCCCTGGCTGCACTGTGGGTCCAGGTGGTCAGGCAGCACCTGAATGATGCAATGCACAGACTCTAATTTCACTCAGTTAATCCAGGGGGTGGGTGGGGGGAGGGGCGCCATGCTTGGGTGTCTCATTTTACAAAGGGAATTTGAAACTTTATGCTGTATTGCATAGTTGTGTTATTAAAAATTCCAGATTTCCAGAACTATTTTTATGTCCTGGTAAGTTTTTAAACTGGAGAAATGTCCTAAAATAAAATTCAGATGAGAAAAGGCACAGGGACTGTGCCAACAAAACAGAAACCACCTTTAAGTCCGCACATTAGAAAATCAGCGCTGTGCGGTGTTTGCAGAACGATAGAAATTCTACAGGCAAAGAGCGAGACCTGCTCTGCAGATTTTCCATAGCTGTATGTAGTAGAGTCACATCATCCTACAACAGGAAGAGCAAGATGTCAGAGATGAGGGAACAAGACAAGCAGTAAGGGAACCCAGCTCTGGGCTTTCTGGGGAAAGTAACTGTGGCCGTAATGTCCAGCCCTGGATTGCATGCTTCAGGGATGTATGTTATGAGTTATATAGTGAGGCTTTAAAAAAGATATATATAAAGAGAGATTAATATAGTTATATACGGATACTGAAAATCAGATACATATATAGATATAGATGGGTAGGGTCCCGAATAGAGATAAAGACATATAGACAGAGATATGCACACATAATATCAATATAAATATAGACATAGACGTAATATAGATGGATAGATACACAAGTAGAAATAGATAGATGAATATAGATATATACAGACACAAATAAAATTAGATACATATATAGATATAATTGGATAGACTCTAGATATAGACAGACATCAAGACATATAGACACAGATACATATACATAATATTGATATAAATGTAGACTAACATAATGCAGATACAAATATCATAAGGACATATGGATGGATGCATGAATGGATGGATAGATAGATGGGTGTCTAGAAAGATGGATAGATGAATGAATACATGGATGGACAGTTGGGTGGATGGATGGGTGGTTAGATGGATACATAGATGAATAGATGGATGAATAGATGAGTGGATAGATGGATGGATATGTAGGTGGATAGATGGGTGAACAGATGGATGGATGGATAGATAGATGAGTAGTTGGGTGGATAGGTGAGTGGATGGGTAGATAGGTGGATGATGGATAGCTGGACAAATAGATGAGTGGATGAATAAATGGAAAGATGGGTAGGTGGATGGATAGGTGAGTGGATGAGTGGATAGATGGATGGATAGAAGGGTGGATGGATGGACAGATGACTAGATGGATAGATGAATGAATTGATGGGTAGATAATGGATGAATAGATGGGTGGATGAGTGGATAGATGGATGAATGAATGGGTGGATGAATAAGTGGATAGATGGATGAATAGATAAGTGAATGGATGGATAGTTGGATGAATATATAGGTGGATAATGGATGAATAAATGGGTGGATGGATGGATAAATAGACAGATGAATGGGTTGATAAATAGGTAGATAGATGGATGGATAGATACATGGACGATTGGAAAGATTCATGAATAAATGGGTGAAGAGATAGATGGATAGAGGGATGGGTAGATGGGTGGATGAATGGGTGGATAGATGAATGGATAGATGGGTGACTGGATGGGTGGCTAGGTGGATGGACAGATGGGTGGATAGATAGAAATATGAATATAGACAGAGATACAGATGGAGAAGAGCTCAGGTGTAGATGGAGAGGGAGAGTTTTATATATATACATATACACACATACACACACACACACACACACACACACACACACACATATATATATATATATATATATATATATATATATATGACATATATCTGCCTCTTAAGTTCTGACTCTGGGGACTTTCAAAATGAAAGACAAGCTCCCTAATTTCAAGCAGGCCCTAGGCTAGTGAGGGCAAGACACGGTCATGATTATTTTAACACAACGTGTTGGTCTTTCTTTAGAAGTAACAAGAACATGTCATTAGAACCAGTGCAGGGTCTGACTCAGCTGGGGGAGGATGTAAGAGGATGGAGGGAGGGAGCTGGGGACCTGTGGTTGAGTTTGGGAGCCAATGGGGTACTAAGGGGGAAAAGAGGTGTCTGCAGGTGAGGCAGCACAGAGAAGATTTGGAAGGCATCTGCACCCTGGTCTTCCACTTCTGTGGGCTTGTGGGTGCGTGCACACACATATGTGTGCTCCAGATCATGTTTGTTCATGGAGAGCTTCCACAAGCCTCATCAGGGAATTGCTTTTAAGAGCATGCCTCACAGCTACCCACAGCCTTCAGCAACCCCCTAAGCCTGCAAGGCCTGGGTGAGAAGGAGGCAGGAAAGGCCTCTGACTTGAAGCATCTATCACCTCCCAAGGGCTGGGCTGGGGTGAGAGAGGTACAGGAGAGAACATTGATGTGACATTGACAAAGAACACCATAGCACTCAATCAGAGCCTGGCTGCTGCGATTTTCCAGAGTCTGGTCTGAGAGTGTTTTCTGGAGCAGTACACGGAGCTGCAGAAAACCTGCAGATGCCAGTGAGGTCAGGGGGAAAGGTGTAAGGTGGCCCAAGCTGGGGCCATATTACAGATCAGCCAAGAAGCAGGCACTGCAACTTCAGCAATCGATTCTCTACGGAGGAGGTCACTTGCTTGGGAACTTCTACTAAAAGAAGCCACTTAAAATGACCACTGTCTGGAGACTGTGCAGAGGACCGTGGCCTTGGAGGGGAGCAGAAAGCGCAGAGTCAAAGCCTGGAGGGAACCCCTCAGCATGGCACTGTGAGGAGGGAGGGACAATGAACCGCAGGCACAGCTCCCAGGAAAGGACGCTACCTTCACAGGTGACTTCCCCACCTTCTGGTGCTGCTGCAGGAGCGCTCAGCTAAAATACGTCCACTGATCTCTGTCCCCCCGTTCCCCACCCATGGCTGTCTAAGGCACTTCACCCTCACAAGCTGACCTGGCTAGCCTCTGGTCCTCATACCGCTGGCCTGTTGGCCTGGGAATCAGGGCCTCAGCCCTGCTTTGTGTATTAATGAGGTGTGTTCCAGAACCTCACCAGCACTGGAGATATTTAAAACCTTGTAACAAAATCTTCTTGGCAATAGTTTGAGTCCACCTCCCATCAAATTCTCCAGAATCTAGGCAAGCAACCCAAAATGCTGACATTTGCCAGAGACTGGCACTTCCAGGAGGCACCTCTCTGAGTTGGTTCCATAGTCCTTAGACCCAAGGAGGCTGATGCCTTTGTGGTCCTGCCTGGGAAGACTCAGTGGTGCTGGTAGGTGAGATTCTCATTATTTCACGGCAGAGCACAGCTGTCCACTTAATGTACTGACCCGTACCTATACCTGAAGACAAAACTGAACCTGGAACTCATCAAAAAAGGAAAAAATTCCCAGTACATTTTCCTTGCACCTCCTTTGCTTCACTTGGTGATCTGGACATCAATGTGCTCCTCTCTGAAACCCAAGTGTGAATCTTGTTTAAGCAGCAATGGTACTGCCCTTGAATGCAAACCCACTTGTTTATACTTGTGACTAATTTCATTTAGATTTTTGCACAGCAGCATAATACGGATTTCTGCCATCATAAAGTATTTACATGCTGAGGAGGCTTGGCAGGTCAAACACCTGAGGTTTTTTTTTTTTTTTTTTTTTTTTTTTTTTTTTTTTTTTTTTTTTTTTTTTTTTTTTTTTTTTAATACTCAGAACTGGCTTTGATTGCTGCCTTGCCAAGGAGTCTGTGCCTGGCCCTCGCACCTAGACGTACAGCAGACTCGCCCTGGTGATCCAGTAGACTAAGTGGATTCTTGATCCTCTGGCATTGGCCATGAAGGAAAATAAGGAGAGAAAGGAGAGGATGAGGAGGGTCAGGTCATCTCTAAGCAATGCTTCACAGACCACAGAAGTGGTGCAAGAAGAGCTATGAGTGTGAGCTGTGTGGCTCCCTGCACGTCACTGTCGAGAGCCCACCTTCTCACCACCTTCTCCAGGCCTTGTGATGGGCCGGCTTTTATCTCTCACTAGCAACTTCTGACACGCTGTTGGCAAAGTTTTTCCAGCAGCACCCTGGGACTGTTCCTGGTCATGCTAAAGCAGGAGGTGGGAGTCAGGTGGGGCCTCTGAGTCAGGGATCTACGCAGCTGTGACTAGGCATGGATTGTCACAACTGGCACATCGGATGGCACTGGATAGCACCCTGGAGACTTCATCAGGGCTGCTCCAGAGAGATCCTGGCTCTGCAGACTCCACTCTAGGTGCTGCTTTCTTTCTCCTTAGAATATATTTTAGGTCATGTCTGCTACATTCCCCAAGGTCAGGGCCACTTCCCACAGCCACTGAAGAAGTCTCTAAGAAGCCAATGCCTAGAACAACAGTGCATGAAAAAGATGCTAAGGCAGCTTCTCCTTCTGGGTGCCAGCATCAGTCAGAAGGTTCTAGGGACAGTTTGTTGCATATGGAACGAATGAATTCCCGCTTGAGGACATGACAGGTCTAGATATCAGGAAAGCTATTCTCATCTCCAACCTCTGGGGGAAAACAGAGCAGAGGTATAGCAGGTATGAACGGGACCATCGGAGTACCGTGGCACAAGGGCTTTTGTCCCACGAGATGAGCCTTCCAGAAACAACATGGAGTCACCATAGTTCCTCTTCCATTTTGAGTTTTGTCCCCCCACAAACACATATGAAAGCCCAACCCCCAGTACCATGAAATGTGACTTTACTTGGAAGTAGGGTCTTTATGGATAATCAAATTAAACTGAGGTCACAAGTGTGGACCTGTATTAATTAATCTATTCTCATACTGCTGAAAGATATACTACCTGAGACTGAGTGATTTACAGAGGAAAGAGGTTTAATTGACTCACAGTTCCGCATGGCTAGGAAGACCTCAGGAAACTTACAATCATGGTAGAAGCAGAAAGGGAAGCAAGCTTGGACCTTCTCACATGGTGGCAGGAGAGAGAAGCAAGAGGGAA